TGCAGATTGCCTTCAGTTTTTGGTCAAAATCGTGATGAAACTGCGATTTTTGATACCTTTAATTGGTTGTAACAAATAACAAACAACGTCAACTGATTTCGATAAAATTTTCACGTAAATTACCGAGATCTACGAGAGGCATTTTTTAAATTTCCGTTATAAGCTCGGATAAGAAAGTTATGAAATGAGAGTTTTTATTTTTCTTTCTTTTTGTCATTCCAGCAAAATTTAAGAAAAGCATTTTGGTAATCGTCTAGTAAACTAGTCCCTACATTATCTAAAAAAAATTCAAATCACTTAGTCCAGTTTAAAAAAAGTTATTGCGCTTTAAAAGATGTATGCTCATGCGACGAATAAAATTAAATTTTAACAATTCATTTTATACAAACAAATATATATTTCGATAGATAGATATGAAATGATGTTTTGATTGTTACATTACCAGATGTTATCAGTTGCGTACCTACTTAAACTTGCCGCCATTTGATCAACTTCTTCACGCAACGTTCATCTTTTTCATTCGAATATGTCGCATCAGCAACCAAAAATCAGTTTCAAAATTCAGGATAGAGAAGAGAAGTGTGTATAATCTTCCATCTACTACATATGTAATAACAGAGTTAACTTGGTATGTATGTATGTACATATACGGAATATTATGGTACGATAGGAAGCCGATCGATCGATTTTATGAAAACTACCTTGTACGTAATTGAGAAAGAATGGTTGTTTTAACACGTACTCTAGGTTATGCAGATAAAGTAGTTAAGGTAATGAAATTAACTTTAATATATATGTTGATGGCAATAAACATCTTCGTTACATATACGTGTATATATATATATATATATATATATATATATATATATGTATATATTACCTGTTTAGTTGGCAAGAAAATTTCGACGTCGTGGACTAATTGACAGTTTACGCGTACACGTAACCGGAGGACCTGGAGGTTCCGGACTTCCTCGTTACGGTGGAATAGGTGGTGCAGGAGGAAATGTATTTATTGTATCGAAAGAAGATTTAACTCTGGAAAAAGTTAAATCTAAATTAAAAAGCTTCAAATTGAAAGCTGGACCAGGCGGTGAAAGTACATCGAGAGGAATTATCGGTACCCCTGGAACAGATCTGAGTATAAGTGTTCCAGTAGGTATTACCGTTTATGACGGCAACAATGTCAAACTTGGTACTGCTTGTTTATGCTTTATTTGCATTGAATTTCATAATTTCAACGGTCGACTACAATTTTCTCCATTTATATGTACACAGGCGAAGTAAATTCAGAAGGTGCAAACGTTCTGGTTGCAAAGGGTGGTTTAGGTGGTTGCGAAAGTACAGGATACTGTGGACTTAAGGGTGAAAGTCGAACCATAATTCTTGATCTAAGATTAATTGCAGACGTTGGTCTGGTTGGCTTTCCTAATGCAGGGAAAAGTACTTTCCTAAATACAGTTTCTAAAGCAAAACCAAAGATTGCTAGCTATCCGTGTAAGTTGCATCGATTACAAATTTTATTGTGAACTTATAATTGTAAGTTTTATTTCTTTTTCAGTTACAACGATAAGACCACAAATAGGTATTGTAAACTATACAGATCATAGGCAGATTTCCATTGCCGATTTGCCTGGTCTAATCGAAGGTGCTCATATAAATAAAGGAATGGGTCACAAATTTTTGAAGCATGTAGAAAGAACAAAACTATTATTGTTCATTGTAGATATACAGGGATTTCAGTTGTCTCATAAGTACAAGCATAGGAGTTGTTTAGAAACTATACTTTCGTTAAATAGAGAAATTGAACTCTACAAACCGGATTTATTAAAAAAACCTGCGATGCTTTTAATAAATAAAATGGATACCAAAGATTCAAACAAAACATTTAACGAAATTAAATCAAAATTAAATAATTTATCACAGATTGCTTCAGAATTCGATGAATCTATAGAATCAGAAAATTTTTTACAGTTCGATGAGATTTTAGCAACATCATTAATTTCAAAGGATAAAAATGAAATAGAGCTAATTAAAGAAAAACTACGAGATATTATTGACAAATATGAAGAAGAGAAACGCGGTTCTGAGAATTCAGTGGAAGATTCGGTGGAAGAAACCTTACTGACGAAGCTGAAAAGAGGAACGCAACGGCACGTACCCACATTTATATAATATTCGTCTAAAACAAATTTTCTTATAAAATCATATTATCTTCTTTAATTGACAAAATGTACACTACATAATTTCCAATTATATCATTTAAGTCAGTTCTGCGTTTACTTTTATCCAATCACACTTTATCCTAGCTTCCTTTACCCTTTTTGTCCAATCTTCTCCTAACTGGGCATTATTTACTACATGCACTTTATCAATATCATTTTCATTTCTAATAACACCTGTATCCGCAACCCATCTTTCTATCCCGTTCCATGCAATCATTATTCCATTGTCGGTGCATAATTCGGGTGGTGTCCGTACAAAATTATAACCCAATTTTGTACTCACAATATCCAATGCTTTAACTAGAACGTTGTTGCATGCAACACCCCCTGATACAACCTAATTAATTAAAAACCAATTAAATATTGTGTAAAACCAAATTTTCTCAGTATATTAGTAGAACATACCAGAGTTCGTTTGTCTTTAGGAAATAACGACGTATTATCGATAAATTCTATTGCTCTTTGAGTTCTCTGACAAATATGAGTTACAACAGCTAACTGAAACGCTGCGCACAAATTATAAACATCGGGCATTGTCATATCAGCAATTATGTTATGATCTTTCTCTTGTTTTTCGATATACTTTAAACATGTATTTAACAATCCAGCAAAACTAAAATTACAATCGCGATAATGTTGCATAACAGGTGTAAATGTAAACTGATTAACATTTGATGCTCTATATGCTGCAGTTTCTATTGCTAAACCTCCGTTTAAAGTACTAAATTCAGGAATATTTCTTAATTTCAGTCTTCGAGCAATCTATAAATACACAAGCTTACGGTATAATTACATTATTATAAAAAATTCTACATAATTCCCAGAAAAAATTCATATCTGATAATATAATATTTTTAAGGAAAAGTTAAATATTGATTTTTACCTTGTCGAAAATTTCCCCGGGTGTATTATTCAAAGTAGTTCCAAGTAAGTAAAATTTGCTTACGTCTTCTACAATTGCGAGTAAACAGTGGCCTCCAGAAACTAATAAAACAACATAAGGAAAGTCGACCTAAATGCAAAAATACATATTTTATTATACCTTCCTCTATTCAGAATCTTGTTTCATATACCAATATTATTCGACAGACTTTGTGCATCATTCGTACTGTCAAAGCATGAGCTTCCATATGATGTATGGGTATAAAAGGTTTTTTCCCAATCTTTGCTAAATACTTTCCAAATTTTGTTCCAACATCGAGTGACGTGTGCAGACCTGGTTTTACAGTTGTAGCTACTGCACTAATATCTTGTAATTTCAAATTTGCAGACCTGAACGCAGCTTCACATACCTTAGTAATATTACTTTTATGCAATGAATGTGCAACTGAAGGAATAATTCCTCCAAAACTAAAAGTATACCAAGATATTATCTACAGTATTACGATCAGCCTGATTGATAATAATTGAAATTACTTTAAATGAATATTATGTTGTGAACTAATAGCTTCACCTAATACAGTCCCTGTACTGTCAACAATTCCACAACCTGTATCATCACAACTGGTTTCTATCCCTAAGATTATAGCTGGTTTACTGTGTAAAAGTGTTTTTAATAATGCAGAATCGCTTCTACAGAAATACGATAACGTGTTCGAATTCATAGAATACTTCGAAAAACGTTTGTAATATAAGTGCATATTCAAAGCCATATTTCTTTTAGTTTTTTTCTAAGTTAGCCTTTCGAAAATCGATGTTATAAATATTGATTTTATTGAACAATAATCAAGAAAACAAATACATAAATTAATATATACTACATATTTAATATTAATTTTATAGTAAAACAAAAGGTCTTCGGAATAGATCCAAAATCTTATTTAGTTGCATGGTCTAAAACCGACTGAAGTCAACTGCTATCGACAGCTGTCTACGTCATCTGCTTTACTCGGTTTTACCGATCTAGTAAATACATACAAACCAATACAAACAGACGACAGTACACACTGATCTCTACATTTGCGCACGCGTGTATATGTACTTACATACTTTGAAGCCGCTGATCGGAATGATTTCTTCGAGAAATTACAGGAATCCAGGAAGACAGTTTTATCTTATACGTTTCTGATGTATTACCGCCACACTGCTGCTTGGTTTTGTTCTTCTTTCCTTCTTGCAAAGAGAGAGAGAGAGAGAGAGAGAGAGAGAGAGAGAGAGAGAGAGAAAGAGGAAGAAAGAGAGAGAGAGAGAGAGAGTGTGAAAGAGAAAGAGGAAGAAAGAAAGAGAGAGAGAGAGAGAGAGTGAGAAAGAGAAAGAGGAAGAAAGAGAGAGAGAGAGAGAGAGTGTGAAAGAGAAAGAGGAAGAAAGAAAGAGAGAGAGAGAGAGAGAGAGAGAGAGAGAGAGAGAGAAAGATACCTAAAAGCTCCTTCTAAGCTCCCAAGAATTTCTAAATGTCTTCAAAACAAAAACTAATCAATACTAATGAAATCTCATGGTGAATATAATTTGGATTCTCCCACTTGGTCTTATGAAGCCGTTTCGAATGCATATCGAGAGAAACTATTCGAGAATTTGAAGATGAGAAACGATATATCGAAATGGATTATCGATGCAATCTGGCAAAGCATACTGTCTTGTAGTCACTTGTAGTCGCCGTAGTCATCAGACACATCAGACATTGCCATTACAGACTCTAGACCTACAGATTTTCGTGTTAAAGTGTCGGAAATTCCACGTACAATGTCGGAACAGTAAGAAATTTCTCTCCCATTATTTTGAAATATGAATATCTTTTTATTATTTTAATGCTTATCACAAATTTAGTGCTATTTTTCAACACATTTTGTATTGTTCAAACAAACTTCGATTACCTTTGCTAGAGTAGAGGTTAGAGTAACCATCGCTTCTATTAGTGACGTATATACTTACACCTATTGTGTTTTATCAAACATCATTAATCGCGTTAAGTTCTTTCAATTTCTACAGTTGTTATACTTACATTTCGTAGGATGTATATTTTATAAAAAATTAATAATGCATATGTTGTATTATTTCTATTCGTAATATGTTTTGTGTACTGTACTTTAACCCATTTATTTATCCATTACTAACTTATCCGTTATACTTCAAGCCAAGTGGCAATTCTGCTACATGATATATCTTTAGTCATTAAAATTCGTCTCCTTGCAACTCTATTGTTTGTTCCTTTCATAATACTTTAATATTCAATGCTTATTTGTGTAGCGACGATACTTTATTGGACGAAGACCTTGGGGATGAGGAATATGATCTTGGAAACGACGAGGAAGAGGCTCTTTTAGCAGATGATTATGAATTGGAAAGGGTGAGCATATACAGCTGCAACTTATTTTGTTATTAAACAAAAAATTGCATATCATTGTAATGTCATAAACTATCATACAAAATTATTCTATGATGGAAATTAATAACAAATTTCTGAAGAATCTTATTTGAAAGTGGAAAATTATGGATTAATCGATCACGTATGGCTGTAACGTTATCTATCTGAAATATTAAATTATAATTTTATTACTTTAAAGTCAAAGGATTACGTTATTTAGATGGGTTAAATCTAATGTAATTTATATTCGTGTTGTCTATCTATGATATATTTCAGCATGCGAGATGGGAATTCAACGCTATTAGATTTATTTAATCTGTAGGCGTTTTATTTATGTTGTATGTGAGAGCTACAAAAGGTATACATATAAAAACTCACCATGTATAATTTTTTATCAAAGGATGACATTAGTAAATCAAATATTTGTTTCTTTGTGTCTGAATAATCTCACGAAATGAAATGTGTACATGTTAAAGCGTATCAAAAGGATTGTATCAAATCACACAGATGTAATATGTCCAATACGAGGTTAAAAACAAATGCATATACGTGAAAAGATATTATTGGACTAGCGAGAATTTCATGTTGTAATTTTATTTTTCA